TCCTCATGTTGAATTACCAATAGTATTAGTTGCTATCTCTAAGGAAAACTTCGGTGCGCTTGATAGTCATGGCGGTAAGGTTATGGTTAGACGGAGCTTTATTGTGCGAGGATGGCAATAAAAACGAGGTGAACATATTTCTTTCTTTAATTCTCTACTATGTACTTTCTCTAAGCCTGTCTTTCTAGGTCTTTCGGAAGCTTCTTAATGTAACCTTATTTATCTAGACCAATGAACAACTACAATTATGTCCGTAATCAGCATCCGTATTCAAGATAGTAATTGTAAACATGATGGTAATTTTCGTGACGTCATCTACATGGTGTAAACCCAACAATTGCTATGTCTTTACCAAATTACTCTGCCGAGATAATATACAATCTGGTCAGCATGCATTAAACGAACGAGGGCACATTTTATATATTCACATTGATCCTTTAAACATCGTGTAATCAAACTTTGTACTTTGGGCGGAAATCATAAAAGTGGAGCCACCACGCGTTATCCGCTGGGCTAATCTGACTTCGTTTACTCAATGAACAAAATGTACTACTTAACCATGAAGAATAGACATATCCGCAAGATCGCTCTTCAACAATACTAAGCGGATTAATCTCAACGCTCCCACTCATCATTAATGCTTGTTTGATCCTTGGCGTTGGATTGGTCCTGCCTCTCGTATAAACGCAAATATTTGGCCTTCAACGCCTTCGTCAAAATATCTGCATCTGACGCTTTGTGTCCATCTTTAATATTTCTTCTTGAATATTTCTGTGTGTAGAGAAGTGTCATATGTCTACGTGCTTTGTCCGAGCATGAACGGGCGATGTTGGCTGACGGAATGGCCCCTTTGTTGTCATCCCAAACTTTTTTATATCCACATGCTCGTCTTAAGCATTGCACGCGCCCGAACAATTCTTCGAGTGCAAAGGGTGAAAGTCATACATTCAGTCTTCGCTGAGCTGAGTGCAACGGTCCAAAGGCAGTTTGAGTTGAAATCCGATGCCGCGCTTGCAATTATGGTCGGAGTTCCTGAGACCGGACGTCTGTCCTTAAACATACCTGCTTCCATCAGGATCATAATAGGCCTTCACCGCAATGCCGCCCCCTCCTTGATAGACGAATTCGGTTAGTCATGTACTCTTCAGGATGCGTAGCACGCAAATGGCTTAAATCCTGTTGCAGTTTTTTTCAGAAAACGTAACAGCAGCATCACCACGTATAAAACATCCAGTCAAGTAAGAAATATTCGATATGATCCCGATTGCATCACCAAACGACCCTTTTCCGTTGTAGACGACGACGGTGACGACAACATCAGTCTTTATGCGCACGGTTGTCGATACTTTGGAGTCTTCTTGCTTGAATCGTCTAAGCAGGTCGTTAATGTAGCAAGTCTTCTTGGTCGTCAGTGTTTTGGCTGACCTACATATATTTACTTGCACAAAATAAGCTCCGCCTTTCCAACTATTTTTTCCAAATATATTCTTAACGCTTCTTTGACCTATATGATCTCCCCACTTATTTTCCCGTGACAATCATGTCATCCACTTATAGTCCAACGTTCTGACACAAACGAATTGGTCCTCTCTGCAGCATTTAAAGCCATTTTTCAACAAACACGATGTATTGTCTTGTTTCAGCTACCTGCTGCTTGCTGTCTACCCATATGTCGGCCTTTTTTAACCAGCAGACGTGTCCCTGAGCATTGCCGAGACCCAACGGAGCTTCGTCATGCGTTGTCTGTCAGCATACTGATCGTGAAAGCAGTTGCGACATCCAGCTGTTTGATTTGGCAGTCGAATTCGGTACACACTTCATTTACAATCTATATTAAATAATGTTGGCGAACGTGACAAAAGTCTCTCATACGTTTGCGTCAAACCCTTCGCGCCAAATCGTGCCTTGTATCGCACAACAGTGTCATTTTGATCACCTTTCTTGACAAGGACCCATCTTTATCCAATTTTGTCCGACCGTTCATCGTTCTTCCATCTTGGCTTTAAATCAATATTAATTCTGTTCATGCTCACTACTGTCCATTCCGACGTCAGTGACTGGTTCTTCGGCAGTTCCATAGGTGTGGCTGTCGATCAACTTTATACCAAATTGCCCTTAACTCCTCTGAGGTTCAATATAATCCATGTTTTGTAACGCACCTTCTCAGACTCGAAACTATTTACTCACCCAGGTGATAGGAAGGCATACCCGCAGAGTTTCGATGAGTTTCTTCAGATCTACCACATGCGTGTATTACGGCGATGCATAATAGCCAAGAAATCATCGTTTTACACTCAGCTTGGAGAAGACCAATTACATTTCACATGCCTAAAGATCCGCATTTTTGAATGAAAACTTGCTGAGAGAATGATATGCTTTAAATCTAATGTAATTTTTACTTTTCTTAGAACGTCTGGGCAAGTTTCACATTATCCTACATAAATATTGCCGCTTAGGAAATGTTGGATTTTCAATCAGATGGTGAGAAGAGTTGCAACATCTGTCTCTCACGAACAACACGCCATTATCTTATTCGGAAGAGTCCATAATACGTCCAAGCAGGTTCGAGCTTAATACTTGGAAGCACAGCCTGAACTTGTCCTCTGGCTCAAATGCTCGGTCGATATTTCAACGTTTGGTGGTAGAATTGGCTGAACACATGGGAATTGTTGGAATGTAAGCATTTCATAAAAGACAATTTTTTTACGAAAAAGCTTAGATACTACTATCGTTCAAATTCTATGCAGCAACATAAACATAAGATGAATGCGTTATGTAATACTACGAACCTGTCCTAAACCAACTTACCTTCCTATGTGAAGAGCTTCGTCCACTAGCTGCGAAATGTAACTCAGAAGCAAGGCGAAAACTTCTCAGCAATTTTGCATTCCATTGTAACGACAGCGCTCATCAGAGAACTATGGTCTACCAAAACGCAGATGAGAACTTAAAACTGTTTCCAGTGTATCAGGAGGTACCGCTTTCGTTATTCCAATCAGCCAGGTTTTTATTGAGAAAGGCATAGTGATATGCAATTGCAACCTGCTTTTCACGAGGTTCAAAGTTTTCGTTAAGGATATCCACCAACCTGGTCCATTCGCATTTGACGCTGATAAAATTTTTGAGAGCATAATCCCAGTAGAATTCTGATTCTTTTTGATCAACGACTGGTCTGCTTGCGAGCAACGATACAACACGCTCAGCGATATTTTTATCGATGGCAGTGGACCAGGTTTGGTGATGGAGTCCAGGAGCAAAAAAGTCAGAAAGCTTTGTGTCGTCATTGCAGACGTAGTGATCGTATGAAGCGATATAGTGTTCAACTTTGCTGCACTTAGCAGTAAGTAGTAATAGTTCCACTTCTTTACGATAAAAACCGAAATAAATCAAGTGATTCAGGATAGATTCCAAACGGTTTCATCTATCACATCTCCTTCAGATGTTGCTTTGAGCTCTGAAGCGATGGAGAGGATCAGTCGATGATAGGGGTTCATCTGGTCGGTTTTTTTTTGGTTCAAGTCCATATGACTGCGCCATCGCATCGATTTCCAAGCAGAGCTGAAATCAAGAGTAATCATTTCTTTTGTGTTGCTGTCTGTATCAGTGAGTGCGGTATTCATTTGTGTCACAAAATCAGAATGTAATTTGTGATTTATCCAATGTAACTTGTCATTATTCAAGAGCTGCGAGGGTCCCGCTGAAGTAGAAGTTCCTTGTTGGCCACGCACTTCTGGATGCAGTTGGAAGTCGAGATCTTTTGATCTGGTCGGCGAGGTGGGTGGATGTATGTTCAAATCAAATAAAACTTTAAACTCTTTCTTCGTCACCAATCACTTTAC